AAGCGAGTCTCCTGCCTCAGCCTCCCAAGTAGCTGGGACCACAGGCGCCTGCCACAACACCCAGCTATTTTTTAGTTGCAGCCGTCATTGTTGTTTTTGGCAGACCCGGGCTGGATTTGAACCTACCACCTTCGGTGTATGTGGCTGGCGCCTTAGCCACTTGAGCTACAGGCGCCAAGCCAAGTGTAAAATTTAAAATTAAGCTGAAAAGGTTTATTTAGTAAAATCACAAAATAGAAATATGAAAATCTATTATTTTAATACTAGGTTCAGAATGTGAAATAAAATAATACCCAAAGATAAAATAGTTGGAAATAATCACAAGAAATATATATGTGAGAGAAATTAAAGGAAAATATTTTAATGAATAAAGTTACCATGTTGCTGGATGGGAAAAATGAATATTTTATTTATATATGTGTGTGTGTGAGTAGCATGCTAGGATGTCATAGCTCACAGGAACCTCTAACTCTCAGGATTGAGCAGTCCTCTGGCCTTAGTCTCCCAAATAGTTGGGTCTATAGCTGTCTACCACAATGTCTGGCTCATTTTTCTATTTTTAGTAGAGACAGAGTCTCGTTCTTGCTCAGGCTGGTCTTGAACTCCTAAGCTCAAGCAGTCTACCATCTGGGCCTCCCAGAGTGTTGGGATTACAGGCGTGAGCCATCATGCCTGGCCTAAGACTACTATTATAAAAACAAATTTTTACCAAATCAATTTATAGATTTAATTTCATTTGAACTCCCAACAATTGGATTTCATTAACTTGACAAGCTATTTTGAATTTAATATCTAAAGATAAAAGGTCAGGAAATATCTAGAACTTGTTTAAAAGGACAAATAGAGAAGAATGGTCCTGAAAAATATCAAAATATTCCTTTAGTCTGTGAAAAAGTGTTGTATTAGTATAAGAATTAACAGTTCAATCAAGAGACAGAAGAAGCCTGGAAAATGAGAACATTTTTACATATTTATCAGAACACACAGGAAGTGATTAAGTTAGTAAATCAAAAGCCACAGATAAAAATGAGGGGCAGGGGTATATTCAAAAATGGCCGAGAACAATTGGATATAATTTGGAAAATGTTAATTACATCTTCATGGTACATCAGTATAAATTCCAGATGAAATTGGATGCCCAAAGCATAGAAAAATTAATTATAAAATTAGAACCTTAAAACCCAGAAAAATAATAAAGATTAGCTATCTTTCCATATGTGTGTCCATGACATGTGTCATCATCACCTAGAGCAGTCGTGGCTCACTGCAGGCTCAAACTCATGGGCTCAAGCAGGCCTTGGGTCTCAGCCTCCTGAGTAGCTAGTACTATAGGTGCATGCCGCCACCGTGCCCAGCTAATTTTTTAATTTTCTGTAGAAATTGGTTTTCACTGTCTTGCCTGAGCTGGTCTTGAACTCCTAGCCTCAAGCAATCTTCTTGTCTCAGCCTCCCAAAGCACTT